CACACACACACACACACCGACCGCAGTGCAGACCTCTATTTTCTACACAGCTACAGCACCTCCAACCAGCTCTCATTAATACACACTCGACTGACAGCTCACTGTTGCCATGGCGACCCCCTACCTGTTGCCAAAGGGGGCTGGGAGTTTAGGGGCTTGTGAACGCAGCTCAAAACTATCGCAGTTCAATTTTCGCTGTGTGTCAGGGAGCCGCCGGTGCTGCTGCAGGCGCACACAATTACCCACTTGGGAATGGAGAATAGTTTCATTCATTTCAATGCGATTCAATCTGGCTCACTTCAGTGCGAAAGCAATGCCCTGTTCTGTGCGTTTTGTTATGAGAGAAGCCGAAATTCTCCACAGGAGTGATGCAGGCCTACTTCATTATATAACGCTCTATCCTAATTGTTCTCTTCGGTTCATATGCCTCTATTCTGTGTTATTCATTTTAGGAAGATAAGATGAAACTAACTTGAGGAAATTGCACGGCTTAATTCATCATTCCAAGCGGTTCTATTCTAATTAAATCACCGCATATTCTATTCTCGCTATGCTATTCTTCACTCCCATACCGTTCTGTTTTATACTCCTAACAAAGGTTTCATACACTCGTGGAAAATGGCTCTCTAGACTAATTGTGTCACAGCAGTATTCATTTTGCTGCTGTAATGAACTGTAGAGGAGAGTAGAATGTATACAGAATCTGTACGGCCATTAAAGATGCATGAAATGGCCCAAATCTGCTCTATTAAAAGAATTTACTGTAGATAAGACTTAATGCTTAGTTTCTATTTGAGCCTTACTTAAGTGCAACCTTTGTTCCCAGGACGTGTTAGCTGCTTCTGTCTCCAGAACCTGGACAACTTTACAGCTTTTTGTCCCATATGTTAACATCAAGCTCCATCTCTGTGTATTTCTATACAGAAACTCCAACAAAGGGTTTCCTTAGGCTGGCTCTGTGTTCAACTCCATTCAGACCAAATGAAATATAGTGATGAGTGGGGTTATTTCACCATCACAACAACAGAATAAGACAGAGAGGAGAGTAATCAAATGCAATAACGGTCTACAATCTAAAGTGCATACTAATAGACTTTTGCCCCGAACAAAAGTGATTTTTCTTAAGTCTGGTCCAGCTCATCTATTTTTCATTTGATTATCAAATCTGGAACAAATGTAGGGATTTTCTCATCACAGCAGAGTTGCACCATCCTTCCTGGAACTAAGTGAGCTAAGTGGAGCTTGAATCAACATGACATAAAACAGTGACAGCCAGCAGAGATCCATATACCAGTCCAGCCAACAGCAACAGCTCGTGAGACCTCAAACTGTGTGTGCGTGTGTGTGTGTGTGTGTGTGTGTGTCATTGATAAGAAGAAATTGAATATTATATACAATCCTGTAACTTGGATTTAGACTATTTGACCGGGTCAATTTCTGTGCCGCCACACATGTATCTAAACACACACACACACACGTAGCTGTTAATGTCACTGTGAGGGCTGTCAGCAGAACGAGCCGATGGCGAGGGACATGTGTGTATATGTGTATACGTGTGTGTGAGAGCCGAGGAGGGCAGATGGCCTTCAGCAGGTCATTAATACCGACTACACCATCCAACAGTGACCTCTACCACTTAACCCCCTTCATACTAAAACCTGTTGTAAGACAGATGAGGAGAAAACGGCGCAGCTCTACACTCTGAGAGATGGGGAGTACTCGCTGTACGCTTAACCCTTCTGTGGGAGAAACTGTTGACTAAAGAACTTACAGAACAACAAAAACAGTGACGAGTTTGAGTTAGATGGCTCTCAGTAAAGTCCCTGACTGCTTAAGATGATAAATGAAAATCTAAGTACTGTAAACTTGCATGTTTTAAACTGAACTTTAAGGCTGTTACAGTGGGTCGTGTTGAGCATTAGAGGCGACTAACCAACGCCTCACATCTTGCACTAAAAGCTGCACTTCAACACACCACATGTATGTACATTCTGTGTCTGCATGAGACGTAATATGTAGTAAGTAATCAGCATTTGGACTCCAAAGAAGAAAGGTAGAAAGACACAAAATGAAGAAAAGAAAGAAAAAGTAATGGCAGAAAATGAGGGAATATTCACTGGGCTGAACAGGCAATCAGACAACACACCACAAAAACTCCAGGGGATGGTTAGCCACATACAGCCCAATGGCACCCAACAACCAACTGTTGTACAAGGGCGTTACACCCCTCTTGGAGAAATCAACATTTTTGCTCCATTTACAATCACAACAATGACCCAAATTTGGCCTTTTTAAACCAGAAACACACATGGACTTGTACAGCGCACTTAAAAACACATTTAGCACCTCTTGTTTTCTATGAGAGCCCACACATGGTCAGCCTCAGATCCCCCCTTAGATCTGCATACCCCTGCTCCATACATCGACTGCTCTAAGTCTGTATGACTGTTTGTGCTGTGGGTGTCAGTTGGTCTTATGTTAGATGAGGTAACTAAGTGTGTGTTGCACTTAACTGCTTGAATGAAGTTTCTACATTTTCTGATGAAGATGAATGATGAAAAATACTTTTTCTTTCCCCCTTGTACTGTTTGAATTACAGTCTATATTACACACTGGGTGTCCCAACCGCTAACATATCTATATCAGCTTGCACTTTAGATGACTTTCTGAATATTACACCTGGGTAATCACACTTCATTAAACCTACAGAGTAATGCAGATGTCTTACAATAGCACAGATGTTAGACAAACAAAACCAACAGCCCACTAAAAGATAAAGACACTGATTGGTCTGTCAGCGTGCATTACACAACATAGAGCTTTATGTTTGTTTGACGCATTAGTAATGTTATGAAAGTAACAACTTCTGACTTTTTTTGTAATACAACCTATGAAAAGACCAAATATAAAGTGAATGATACGTGTGTAACGATATGTTATCATATTTTATAATTATATTCTTTCAAAACTTTGGAGTGCATGACCCCAGTGGGAACAGAGGCCTATACATCCATATACTGTATATCCATCCAGTTAAACAGGACCATATGTACTGTATGTGGCTTATGTTATTTACTGTATCAACATTATTATTTCTCCTTCCATGACTTATGTGTCATTGTGGATTTATGATGAAAATTCCTCACTTTCTAACCTCTCCACTGAGGGCCAGGGGAGTGATAGAACTGGGTCGGGGGCTCTGGACTGGATCTGGAGCCACTCAGACAGGCTTTCACAGAGCTTAGGGTTGACGGACTGTGGAGGGCGAGACTGGCTGTAAATCTCTGTTCACTTCATGTCCAGACATATAGCAGAGAGATAAAGTGTGTCTGTGAGGTTCTGTAATAATGCATAAATACATTCTTTCTGTTGTTCCTTTAATTGGAGGGGTTTTACTTGTTTTACCCATTTTCCTACAGACTGGTCCCTCTTCTACTTCAGTTTCCACATTTCACAAAAAACTATGACAAACCTCAGACAAAGTATGCTGTGTTTGATCTAGGGTTGACATATAATTACCAGCTGCCAAGCCAGTTTTTTGAAAACACTGGCTAGTGTTTTTGCAAATTGATGTGGTGAAAAACAACGGTCTTGTGGTAGTGTAAAGGCACTACATGAAAGCATCCTCCACACAGCAACAAGTACATCCAATTTGCCTACACCCTAGTGTACTCATGTAAGCAGAGGTACTGAACACAGTCCAACCTGTTCCTGTCTCTCCAGCCAGCGGTCCACCATGGGGTGATTGGCGCTGAGTGATGAGCGTGCCGTCTCTCGCTGAAACTCTCTCTGATTGGCCCATGTCCCTGCATCTCGTGGCAGACTGCGGTACGTGTCCATGACTTTACCCTGCAAAGACACGGAAACAGGTTTAAAATGAATGCCCACATTATGTCCAGGTCTTCCCTGGACTGACTGTTTCCTAGCATTCCAATTAAGCTATTCTGAATCTGGTATAATGTACACTTCCTTTGTATGCTTACTTGCCTTTTAGTGATAATTGAAGGTCTTAATGATGGATACCGCTATGTATAAAGTATTGGCAAAAAAGGTGTAAGGGCAATGGTGGCACGATACAACTCTTTCATTTAATAATTTTACCCAAAATATAATGACTGGGCTTGGACACTCTGTCAACTACAAATCAACAGTCACAAGGTGCTAATTAGCAGCTACCAGTGAAGTGATATGAAAGTCAAGTTAATGTTCAGGTTTACAGGTGAAGACAGGATAATTTCCAATGCTCTTTCTCCCCAAAACAGATATATAGATATATATATATAT